TGAATACTATGTTAGGTGCTTATACTATAGGACTTCAGTAGGGTACCTACAAGTCCTTCAAGGCTGGACAGATAGCAGAGGTATCCTTCATATCAGAAAGAAAAGGAGGACTTGTGGCACCTTAGACACTAACAAATTTATCTGAGCATAAGCTTTCGTGAGCTACAGCTCACTTCATCGGATGCAGAGACAATCTTTATTTCTCCAAAATGCCATTGACAGACTGGTCAGAGTGCTTTTCCATTCCAGCCATAGCTCCATGTGACAGAGGGGATCTTTCGGTGGTTTACTTCTCCGTGTCAGCCAACTCTTAGCCTGACAAACTCACTACACCCAACACATAGCTGTCATAATATTTATCTATAAAGAATGTTGTGTAAGGTATCAAATGAAAACTTGCATCCGATGAAGTTAGCTGTAGCTCACAAAAGCTTATGCTCAAATAAATTGGTTAGTCTCTAAGGTGCCACAAGGGGAGGCACTCAGGCGAGGTGGAGGAAGGGACGGTTAGGCCGGGGCTCCAGCTCCCTCGCCACAGTGGGGCCGCTTGGGCGCCTCTGCTGAAACCCCGCGTCCGGTCCCATCCCCTGCCTGGGCCCCTGCAGCGGGGCGGGGAGCGTGGCCCCCAGCCCAGCTAGAAGCCGCTGGGCGACCGGCTAACGCCAGCGCGCACCCATCTGGCCCCGGGACCGCACGGCACAAGCCTTGTCCTCCGCTATGGCAGGAGGAAGGGGGGGGCGGCGGCACGGGCTCTGGACTGGGCCTGGGGAGCCCTGGGCTCCTTTCCCAGCTGTGCCGCGGGCCGTGCAACCAGGGGCGAGTCACTCCGTCAGCCCTGGGCGATCGTGAGCAAGTCATTCCCTCAGTCCTGTTCCTCTGTTCTCCGGCTGTGACGGGGTGGGGGGGATGGTTCCCCGCCTCCCCAGGCCTGCTTGTGAAGCTCGGTTACAAGGCTCTCGGCTCCCACGTTGCTGAGACCCATAGAAATGCCGAATGTCAAATAGCAAAGATGGAGGTTGGCCAAGCCATCCAAAAACATCTCAACAGAAGAATCAGCCCCTCCCCTCGAGCAGGATCCACCCTCAGCCTCATCAGAAATGTCTAAAATAGACAATCTCCCTAAGGCGGTAGCTTGGCATATGTAAAATGGAGAACCTTTGGCCTGAATCTCAGTCCGTGTCTATGGGGGGGGGGGGCCGTGCACAGTAGACTGTTTTGCTGGGTTGCTGTTGGTAGTGGTTTGGGTTTCCTTCCACTCCACTGCTTTTGCTGAAATCATTGGTATTTTCTTGTTGACATAGTTTCCTATCGGATTGCCAAAGCCTTCATGGCCATGTGGGTTTGCTGGTCCTTGGTAAACTTTCAGGTGGAATGCTTTACTCATGATGATGATATAAACTGATCTTCAACAAAACTCAGGAAAAGATACATTTCCAAAACTCCTCTCTGGCAGAAGGTAAATCCTCCCCTTTCTATACTTTGTTGAACCCTATTCTACACTGAAGGTAGACTACAAGCATTCCCCCACTGGATACATTTTATGGTGCTATGAGTTTTGGTCACTTACCAAAGTAGACCTGATCAGACTAATGAGACCCAGAATATTCGCTTGAGGTTATGTTGAAAGTTAGATGGACATTTAAGCCTAGCTTCTCAAAGGTATTTAGGACCCTAACTGCCACTGAAATCAATGGAAGTTAGTCACCTAAATACTATTGGCAATCTGGGCCTTGTTCTAGGAACATTTTGTGCTCGTAGTCTAATGCAGTGTTTTCCCAAAATGTGCATTGCGCAAAGGACTGTCTGCTATGGTAGGAGGGCACAGACAGGTCTCTAGAATCTCAGCTTTCATTTTAAAAAAAGAGTAAGTCTCGAGCTCAGTGGTTCTCAAACTTTTTTTTTTTCCCCTCCTATGGAACACTTGAAAATTGCTGAGGGTCTCAATGGACCACTTAATGATATCTCCGAATGTGGTTTGTACTGTTAGCTAACTATTGCAAAGCACTTTGGATAAAAGTGCTGTATATAAAAAAAAAAAACCTTCATGATAAACTTTGTTTGTTCTACAAATAAAAGCACACCTCCTTTTAATATCAGTAGTCTTACCTTTCTAATGTGATGGATGTGCCCTCTCTCCCCTGCCATGGCAGCCCCCAAGCTTGGGCTGGGAAGTGGGGGGTCTCTCCCCTGCCACAGAGCTTAGGCTGGGAAGGAGGGCCATCTTTCCCTGGCAACTGCAGCCCTGGAGCTGGGGAAAGTCGCCTCCTTCTCTGGCTACCACCGCCCTGCACATCCCAAATTCCTCCCACCCCCTCTTTTCACCCCACTGCCTCCTCCCACCTACTGCCTATTCCCCCCCCCCCCCCCCAAGGCCACCACCTCACCTTACATGTGTGTCTTCTCCAGGGTCCAGGCACCTAATTAGTGGAGCCATGCCTGCACAACTCCACTAATTAGGTGGGTGGCCCTTCATTCTCTCGTGTGCAGCTGCCCAGGCACGTTCATGGACCACAGTTTGAGAACCTCTGCTCTAGCTGTTACATTTGCAAAGAAAACCTTCAAAGTGTGATACAAGGGTAACTGGTGCAGAGATGTTTTCAGAGATCCTGAAACAACAGCTTTGAAGTGTGAACTGGTCTATCCATTTCAATGTTGCTAACTTGGATGCCAGTAATTATACTATTAGTTTCAACACTGATGACTATTTCACTGCAGGGTGGATAAAAATTGATGATTAAAAAAAATTTGAATCAGATTTTTTTATTTCATTTAAATTATAAAAATGAATATGAAAAATAAACCTGTTTAAAATGAAATTCAAATTTATACAAAACCTACCACAAAACTTTTCAATAAAAAATATGCTGAATCCATGAGCCTCTACTAAAAAATGTAGAGTTAAAGGCTGCTTTTCTATGTAAAGAAAGATGTTTTCCCCCTGATTTCTAACTTTTGAGGTCAAGCTCTGTAACTATGGCACAGTAGGTCATGCACTGTATTAAGGGTTTGATTCTGTGGGTTACCCAGTGTGACGAAGTGGGACTGTTCTTAATGTTTCCTCTGAATACCGTAGGGGTGCCTCAGTTTCCGCTATGAATTTCTTAAGTCTCTAGGTGGTGGGATAAGGGGGTGTAATTGTTGCAGAGCAAAGGGCCAGTGTACATAAATGGCTGACACTCTCCTGGCAACTGATGGCCTGGGCCCTTCCCCCCTGCAAGGTAATAGCTAAAGGGTTGGAGAACAAAGGAATCAGGTGACCTCCTGGCCCGGGAAAGGGACAAACCCAGAAGGACTTGACTCAGTGGTTTGAGCATTGGTCTGCTAAACTCAGGGTTGTGAATTCAATCCCTGAGGGGGCCATTTTGGGATCTAAGGCAAAACTTGGGGATTGGTCCTGCTTTGAGCAGGGGGTTGGACTAGATGATCTCCTGAGGTCCCTTCCAACCCTGATATCCTACTCCTTTTCTTAAATCGTACTGGCCACTATAATCACTGTGTGATATATGTATGGGCAACTGTCATAAACATACAGCTCAGGGTAGCATAAAATCCCTCCTTTACCTGTAAAGGGTTAAGAAGCTCAAATAACCTGGTTGGCACCTCACCAAAAGGACCAATAAGGGGAGAAGATACTTTCAAGTCTGTGGGGGAAGGTTTTTGCTTTTTCTTTTTGTGGGGGTTCTCTCGGAGCCAGAGAGGGACCAGGGGCAGGAAAAACCATCTCTTAAAACCCTGCCTGAATTAAGACCTAGGATTACAAAAATTGTAAGTAAAGCAAGGAAAGGCATTAGATTATCTTTTGTTTTAGCTTGTGAATTTTCCCTGTGCTAAGAGGGAGGTTTATCCCTGTTTTTCTGTAACTTTAAAGTTTTGCCTAGAGGGGAATACTCTGTGTTTTGAATCTGATTACCCTGTAAAGTTACCTTCCATACTGATTTTACAGAGGTGCTTCTTTTACTTTTTTTTTTCTTTATAATAAAGTTCTATTTTTTAAGAATCTAGTTTACCTATTTGGTTGGTAATTCTCAAGCCTCCCCAGGAAAGGGGGTGAAGGGATATTTTAGGGAAACAGGAACTCCAAGGGGTCCTTTTCCTGAATCTTAACTTACTTGGTGGTGGCAGCAGTACCCATCCAAGGACAAGGAAGGATTTGTGCCTTGGGGAAGTTTTAACGTAAGCTGGTAGAAATAAGCTTCAGGGGTCTTTCATGCAGGTCCCCACATCTGTAACCCAGAGTTCAGAGTGGGGAGGGAACCTTGACAGCAACAATTACAAGTTGTAGGTATGTACTAAAAATATGCTCACACCGGGAAAGCAGATAGGTTGGTGAACAAGTTTGCCCCAGACAAAGGAATGATTGTCTGCCTGAGTATTGAGTGTAAATGAAGCAGGGTAAGCCACAGACCATGGGAATTATATTTGCATCTTCAGTCAACAGAAAAAGAAAATTAACAAAGGGATGAGAAAGGGGACATGGTGCCAACACTCTGGGGAATAAACAGTAAGAATACTTTTTGAAGGTTTACTGGACTATGAGAAGAATGGGAAAAAAGACATTGTGGTTATCCATCACTGAGGGGAAAAAAAGGAAAAGCAACATTTGTATCCATGAATGGCAGATCACAGCCACATGGTTTGGTGACACAGAGGGGTGGCTTTGGGTGAGAATCTGCCGTAGATAAGGACTGCAGCCTGTTAAGTTCTAGTCACTAGAAAGCATGTTATACTTTTTGTTTTATCTGTAATCATTTTCTGTGTTTATTATCTTTGCTTAGTATCCCTTAAATCTCTGTTCTTTTTTTTAATAAACGTATTCTTAGTTTTACTAGAAACTCATCTCAGCGATACGTTCTGTTTATAGACATAACGCAAAAGGACACTCAGATGGAGCCAAGTGTTTCTAATTTAAATGATCTCACTCAGCAAATAATCCTCAGCATTTCAGGGAAGGGGGAACTGCTGTTACCATGCCAGTTCTACGCCAGACCAAGCAAGCTCACTTGATTGCTGCCGTTGCCGTCAGCGATGGCTCCTCTTTTGCTACCACACTTGAAACTCTCCCTTGGCTTTCGTTCTGCTTGAGCTCACAGAATGGCAGGGTAGGGTTTCAACTTTCAGCTGCAAAAGTCAGAGTAGAGAGGGGAGCCAGAACTGGCAGCAGAAACACACACACAATCTCTCTCTCTCTCTCTCTCTCGCCCCCCAGCCTCCCGCTCAATAAAATCTTCATCCCTCACCCAAGTCTCATTCCCCCTGCCCCAGAATGTAGAAGATGATAGTGGTGGGAGTGCTTAACATATTAAACCACATGTACAATAAATAAAAAGAACATTTGTGGGGTACTTAGCAATAATTCAAATTGAAACTGCGCTACAGGCAACTGCATTATGAATTAGCTCTTTGCTGCAAGGAATCTGTTCAGAGGATGGGCCTGGGCCACAAAGGTCAGATTAGACTCAAGCTTCCCTCTGGATCTCAAACTGGTCTAAACCTGGAGTAACTCCATTGACTACAACGGAGTCACTTTGAATTCCCATGGCATAACCAAGATAAAGAGTCTGATCCAAAATGCTTCAGCCTTGAAATGGGGACACCACCTTTAACAACAACAAAAAGGTTATTAGTCTCTATTCTTTTTCAGTACTTAGCATCCTTGTTGAGACTTCCAACACTGATGCTAAATGTTGAGTTGTTCACTTAGAACTCAGCTTGTGCCAGCATTTCACACGGATCAATGAACCACGAGAGTTTAAAAGTCTTTCAGTCACTACCAACCCGGACCAGTTTCAAACCAGTGACCATTAACCCTGAGCCCTCTGTTCAAGTTTTTATTATTTTTAGACAAACTGTAATTTGACAATTGTTATTTTAGCTGTGCGAGTATAAGATGAACATCTTGCCATGAAGATGGAACACTGGCTAATGATATCACAGAATGCATGGTGGACCAGACAGCGAGGGGGTGGGTGAGAAGATATGGAACCCAAGTCTTGGGAAACCTGCACTAAAGCTGCCAATAATGTACCTGCTCTGATAACAGTAGATTTCACTTTCCATGGTAGGCATCTTTCATGAGCACTCATTCATAGAATCATAGAATATCAGGGTTGGAAGGGACCTCAGGAGATCATCTAGTCCAACCCCCTGCTCAAAGCAGGGCCAGTCCCCAATTTTTGCCCCAGATCCCTAAAGGGCCCCCTCAAGGATTGAACTCACAACCCTGGGTTTAGCAGGCCAATGCTCAATCCCTCCCCCCTTATTTAACTCATTTAACTCCATCCCCAAAAGTATAAATTTCACAGGGAGGCATGCAGTTTTCAAGACTAAAAAACACATTAGCCACGACCGTTTGTGTAACCATAGTTTCGATCTATTTAACAACATATCAGACTGATAAACAGGCATTTTAAGTGCAGCCAGAATGTGTTATAATCGGAGGGTTTACACTCAGTCCCAGCACAGAGTCCGTGAGGGAAAAAAAGTCTAAGTGGGGCAAGAAGAGGTTGAGGTGGAAAGTCTGCGAGGCAAGGGGATGTTGTGACAGTGGAAAGCAGAGGTAGCTTCCTGCCCACTGGGAAAGGGGTGCACAGGGGAACGGCAGTGCCCAAAGGCTGGGTGGTGTTGGCTGGGAGCTGGCTTAATCAGCGCTGAGAGGGATGCCTGGATTCAGCGTGGTCTCTCCGCCCCCTCGCCGGCAGGGCTCCTGTGGAATCCACAGTAGATTTAAAAGCACGAGAGAAGAGAGCAGCAGCGCTACTTGGGGGCACAGGGCGAGGCTGATGCGAGGAGGTACCGTTAACACATCCCAGCACCACACTACACTGAATCTAGCACTGAGCATATGGAGATTACAGGTTGATCCTGGAAACGTAGTGACTCCTTGCATGGGTCTGCAGCAGGTTCTGAAAATGGGACTTTTAGCCTCACAGTACAGCCATTGTCATTTGAGTTAAATGAATACAACTCCACTTGCTGGTAACAGCATTAGGCTGTTGTCCGCTAGTGGCCAGCCCTTAGAGAGGGATGTGACATCTTTGCCAGTGAGTTACCCTACTGAATACGGTGCTTCCTACTGGCAGTAGTCTCACTGAAGGCAAAGGAAACAGTCAAGGGAGCAAGCACAGCACACAGTTACAAGTGCTTGTAGGTTCAGGATGCATGTTTCTAATCAATGCCATACTGAGGGTTGTTATACTGACAGATCATATCAATCGCTTTAGCTTAATATTGTTTCCTTGAGTCTCATGGCTTTTGAGCTAGACAAAAGAAAGAATCACGAATGTTCCAATATAAAGTGAGCTTTGCACAAAATCTACAAAACTTCACAGCAACTGGATTAGAAAACAACAAGAATAGCAGCAAGTTTAGGGATCTGCCAACTGAAAAAGGAGAAGCTAATTTAGAGTCAATGGAGACAAACTCATTAAAAACTGTGCATCTAAATTCTTTGAGTTTGCAACGATTATTCCTTCAACTGTCACAGCATTAATATCCTAACCGCATTTTATGGAAGATGATAAACAAAACTAAAGTGACTCTAAAATATGCTAGGGTTTCCTCCAATTTAGCTTTTAAGAATCTGTCCTTGCTGCTACAGCATTAACTATATATGTTTACTACGATATTGTATCTGATTCTAGTGGAACTTCACCAATATGCACAATTTATAATCCACATATACACAAAAATATCTGCTGGGAGGTGGGAGGGAAAGAACAAGCTAAGATATGATACCCGAATGCCACAGTGAAGTCTCATATTACTAAAACTTTATTACTTTTCCTAAGTGTACTGTATAGATCATTTACTAGTGCATTAAAAATCCTAATCAATAAATAATTAAAAACTCAACTACAATTGTCACAGTCAGCAAGCAAAGTACATTTGGTGATACATTAGCTTGCCTTTTATTGTATTGTTCACTTAGACCACAATTCTGCAGGTGGATGGAGCCCCATTAAAGTCAATGGAAGTTTACATAGAAACTGGGATCTACCCAAACACACCACATTGCTGGATTGACTTGTGAAGTTTACACAGTAAGGTACTAGTCATATTCATTAGGTCTTCCAGTAATTAGTGAGATTCTACTGCAATAACTTATACTTCGTATATAGTGTCATGCATCCGAAGATATCAAAGCATTTTAAGATGCCTAAACCCAAAAAATCTCTCTTTTGCAGTTGCTAAATATAATAAAACCTGTAGCCCCACAGAAGGTTTAGAGCTGAACCTCCTGCTTCAAAAAACACAGACCCCCACCATTTAAGCAAAAGGTGTTTCTTCATTAGCTGTTAGCAGTAGACCCCATGAAACACAGTTGGGCCCTTCAGATTCCATCCAATTGAGGGTAGTGGTAAGCACATACGCGTTTATTACGGTTTATGCCCATTTTACAGATACTATGCCTCAGTGCATCTTGTGGTTAAAGAACACAAAGTCAATAATGGAACCAGAAATAGAACCTGGTGTCCCCCGAAGACAGAGGCCTAATCCTATGATGTGACCTCTTTGGGGCATGGATCATCTTTTTGTTCTGTGTTTGTAGAACGTCTAGCACAATGGGGTCATGGTCTGTGACCGAAGTTCCTGGGCACTAACTGCAATACACGTAACTACTATACCACACTCCCTGCACAAAGATGTTTATAAATAAAATATCTATGATAAAACCGCATTAGCATGATTCACATGCACAGTTACTTCTGACACCAATATCTTGTTTAACTTATTCCTTCTTAATGCCTGTAAAAGGCAACAGCTCTGTTATTTATATTTAAGTTTCCATGCTTATGAAAGTGATGGTGTAACCCACACCCTGCCTGGGTGCAGTGTTCTGTCCCATCTTGTGACACCAAGACCACTTAGAGAGTTAAATGAGTCTGCTCTACAGCCTTAGCTAAGAGGCAGTTGGCTTTTAGCTCATGCAGTAGAGGCTTACACACTAAGATCCAGAGGTCCCCGGTTCGATCCCACCTACCAACAACTGGGGTCTGTCAGCATTACAAGTTGGGGCTCATCTGGGATTTCAACTGGGAAGTCTCTGAAGCTTGGAACGCGATTTCTCAGCTAGGGGAAGTATGTAACCCACACACCTCCTGGGTGCGGTGTTCTGTCCCAGTTAGTGGCACTGAGACCACTTAAGAGAGCGCAATTAATGAGTCTGCTCTACAGCCTTAGCTCACAGCCAGCTGGCTTTTAGCTCATGCGGTAGAGGCTCATGCACTAAACTCCAGAGGCCCCTGGTTCAATGCCGACGACCGGGGTCTGTTGGCATTACAATGGCACCAACTGCAGCTAAGCACAATGTAGCAGGGGCACTGCAGACTTCTACACACGGCCCGGCACCAGTGTCCATTCAAAACGAGTTGGTTGCATCAATCCAATTCCTAGTGGACAATGTCTACCTCACAGAATTACAATAGGGCTGGCACAGTACTCTTCGGATTACAAGGACAAGCAGCCAGTAAGTATGTTTTTACCCTCCATATAGGGTTTCGATATCCGTCACTTCTAAATCCTTCAGAAAATAATGTTGCTTCACCATAGGATGGCTAGATATTTTTTGCTGCTGTTGTTGTTACTAAATTATGGAAAGCATCCTCATTGCATTGGGCCCCAACATCAGCTCCGCATCTAATCTATGTTTGGTCTGGGAAGTGATGACGAGGGCTGGTTTCCCCATTGAATAACAGAAACGGGTTGGTTGTAACAATTTACAAGTAAGAGCGTTTTATTTTGCAACAGTTCTCCCTACCAAGCCAGGTGAGCTGCTGCCCATCGTGAGGATACAATTACCTATCTAGGCAGTAACAGGTGGAGAGAGGCTCCGATTACTCTTACTTTGAGTGACAAAGGCATGTGCATTAGCACACATCCCATCCAGCAGGCAGATCCAGGACCCAGAACTTTCTGCACATTCTGCCCAAGGTTTATCTGTATTCTTGTACAATGGAGCTCTGGTGGGAAGGGCCAGAAACGGAGATTCAAGGATGTCTAATACATCCTGTCCAGTTCAGAATGTAAAGTTATTGCTAGCTATGCTACATATAATGCCTCCTCAAATACAAATGGGACACTCTATTTCTGAAAGGGCCCTTCCGTAGCCTAGAGGAGCT